CAGTGGTGATATTTAAGCTCTTCCAAAACTAAACTATCAGTTTTTTTTCTGGAATATTATTAAAATAAAAATTGTTTTGGAGATTAACGGCATTCCTTCATAGTTTATACGTCTTTTATTTCTCACTGTTACTCTGCCCTTCTCTTCCCTTCTCATTTTTCTCCTTTTCTACCTTTCGTTCATACTGGCTTGCACGGCTGACTTAAGTGAGTAATCCCACTAATCCTGATATTTCTCAACGTGAAGATTCGATTCAGGAGCGCAAGTGCCTCATTTAGCGTGGATTTAAGTGTAATTGAATCCCAATCTCCCCCAGAACTTGTCTAAAAATTATATGAGGAGAAACTTTTCACACGCAGTTTACATTTTTTCAGTTGTTTTATATATTTGAATTCCAATCTTTGTGGAATAACACCTTTACAGAACTTTAAAATCTAAATAAATGAAACGAGAGAAGGGAGAGTAAATTTATGAATCGTTCATAATTAACTCGAGATGAAAATTGTTTCGACGTATTATGCTGGAAGTCAAACAATTTAAAAACAGTCTTCTCCAAAAAAAATGATAAATACATAATAAACGATAAGCTAATTGATACGAAACAAAAGACTTTTAAAATCTCCAAGCGAAGGAAACTTTTGTTGTGTTTCCTCAGAGATAAGACGAGTATTGATGTAATATCTGATACTCTAATACTCACCACGAGAAAAAAAACAGCAGCAGCAGCACCAGCATTCATCACATTCATCATTCATCGTCATCATTTTCATTATCATTCATCATCATTTTCATCCTTATAATTATTATCGTCATCATCATCGTCATAATCATAATATTTCTCACATTAGTCATTATTTTCAAAATCAACATCGCACTCATTATTAACATTCTCAAAGATGGTTCCATTACGAGGATCAGGTGCTCAAGATTCAAGAAATTGCACCTGATCTCCCATTCCTTGGACTGAACCTAATTTCTTCCTATTTCCCAGATGCTGTATGATCACTACGAATTTATTGTTTCCCCAAATTTTAATTACAAAAATCATCAGTAGCAGCACTAACAACAGCAGTAGGAACACCATCGACTGCAGCAGCACCATCGGCAGCAGCATTAACAGCAGCACCACTACCACCACCAACAGTACCAGCGGCAGCAGCATAAGCAGCACCAACATCACCACCAACAGTACCAGTGGGAACAACTATAGCAATGCTAGTAGCAGGAGCACTACCACCACCAACAGCACCAGCGGGAACAACTCTAGCAGCAGCAGCAGCAGCAGCAGCGAAAGTATCAGCAGCATCAGCAGCAGCAAAATTAGTAGAAGTATCAGCAGCAGCAAAAGCAGTAGCAACATCAACAGGAGTAGCAGTAGCAGCAGCACCAGCAAAAATCCCTTATGGAATCAGAAGTAGCAGCAGCACCAGCAGCAGCACCAACAACATCCCTTATGAAATCAGAAGTAGCAGCAGCAGCAGCAGCAGCAGCGAAAGTATCAGCAGCATCAGCAGCAGCAAAATTAGTAGAAGTATCAGCAGCAGCAAAAGCAGTAGCAACATCAACAGGAGTAGCAGTAGCAGCAGCACCAGCAAAAATCCCTTATGAAATCAGAAGTAGCAGCAGTAGCAGCGCTACTAGAAGCAACAGCAGCAGCAGGAGGAACAGCAACAGCAGCATTATCATCATCAGCACCAGTAAAGACAGCAAAAGCACGAGAAACAACAGCAGCAGCCTCAGCAGGATCATAATATTAAGTAGGGTATTAGGAATGATTAAATTCGAGGACGGAGTGGATTCAAGAATCCAGAAGAGGGGTTGATGTGCTTTTTTATGTATAATGATTTTTAAACACCGGCCATCTCCCACCTAGACTAAATTAAAACTACATTCACTATTAATTATTCAACAGCTGTTTTGAATTAAGTGTGAAGTCACTAGAATTTAAATAAACCCTCAAAATGCCACTTCCACAAACGTTCTTCCGAACGCAGACTCTGAACTTTCTGTCTCCGGGACTTGAGTACAGCTTAGTGGTTTCTCTGAATTTATTCATAAATACGTATTACCTTGCTTGTATTCCAAAAGCATAAGTAATAAAACCCTCTTGCTTCCATTTACTCTGATGTAACAGGCTCACACAAACTGATGTATCCTCACGAGTACTCTTCATGGGCGTTCCTTGGCCATCCTCTGAATCACTCAGAGACAGCAGCTGAGTGGACGTACAGTCAGTATTCATCTGGACAAGTACTGGGACACAAGACAGGAAGTATCCAGATGAATGTAAAGGATTTTGTTTTGCCGGTCAGAAAGAGTCAGCAGCAGCGTTCTTCATCGACACTATGTCGAGGCTTTGTGTTCTCTGTGGTGTTCAGTCTGTTGGACAGTAGCCGTCTATTTCGATTTCTCCAAAAGTTGTTGAATATGAAGTCGTTCAAATTGAGGGTTGATATTTATTATGTGCGCGAGATTTCTTAGAAAAAGTGGTACCTACATGATAGGACTCTAAGCATCATATGGTTTATCATAGCCAAGACGAGTTAGGTGATGTTTCTGATGGAATGATTTGACTGGCCAATAGTGCCGTCCTATAATAATAAAAAAACAGTTTGCAGAGAAAATACTTAATCCAACGTTTCGATCAGTGCTAACAGGCTTTATCAAGTCATCCTCTTTTATGAATTATGATTTGATGAACTTGAACCCTGAGAGAAGCGTACTCAGAATAAATACTTGCTTTTAAAACTGTCTCCTTTCAGTGTCCCAGACGAATAAAATGCCTCTTTATATGTACATCTCCATGTACTTAATGGCTAGAAAGAAATATTCTTGAGTCTGCGATTATTAAACACGATAAATATTCGTTATATAATCATAGTTGTGAGTTATTCAAGCTCGAGTCGTTTATAATTGAGGCTATTGTGCACAGTCTAAAACCGGATTCTTATGTGAATGCTCTGGATTGTCAAAGGTGGTACTAGGCACTCGTGCGCTTGAGGCACTGTATGTTTCCCACCCCCTCAGTCTTAGTAAGCGTCCCTAGGAAGGAATCTGCTGGGATTTTTTACTCATTTTTGCAACTTTGCAAGCTCCTGATGAAGTGTTGATTGCAACACGAAAGGCCTAGAGATATTAAAAAGATTAAAATAAAGATTTTATTTCTTTGCAAGGTTACAGTGTGTATTTACAGTTTGATTAGGTAAGTACAAAGGAAGCCACCATCATGCCCGGGCATCGGGCAGTATTCAACTCCCCCTGTGGTTGTTTTGCATCTTGAATCGCTTGTTCACGATTCTTGCATAATATTAATAGGTAAGTATCAGGTTGCGAGAGAGATCCCACCTAGGAGGCACTTTCTGTCCAACTGAATGTAATAATAATAATAATAATAATAATAATAATAATAATAATAATAAAATTTTATTTCTAAAAGTACATGTACATGGTTTACAGACCATAGCTGACATTAATGACATACTACTGTATAGAAAGGCGCTTGTTATGCTGAGCATTTCGGGCAAATTAAGTCAGTTGTGTCCCAGGATGCGACCCACACCAGTCGACTAACACCCAGGTACCCATTTTATACTGAAGGGTGAACAGGGACAGCAGGTGTCTTATGGAAGCACGCCCTAATGCTTGCCAGCAATACCGGAGGTTCGAGCTCCGGACCTCATCGTGAGAGCTGAGTGCGGTAGCGATTGAGTTACGAGGAATTTGTTATTATTTTACTCTCTGGTTGGATTTCCGATGGCTTTTCTTTCTGTTTCATGGCATCATGGGTTACCAGAAACATCTTGCTACAACATACCTAGTTCATACTACTAATGCAGTTATGTATGTTTATACGCACTCATCTGAATTTTCTTCTAATTTTTATAAGCGTCTTTTCCTTCTAGTGTTTCCTTTCATGTTCATACAATACAACAATCTACTAGATATCACACAGATCAACATCAAAGATTCTACACAGCACAAAAGCATTTTAGAGCATAACATTATGCATTAGAGCATAACATTATGCTTTAGAGTATAACATTATGCTTTAGAGCATAACATTATGACTTAGAGCATAACATTATGATTTAGAGCATAACATTATGCTTTAGAGCATAACATTATGCTTTAGAGCATAACATTATGCTTTAGAGCATAACATTATGCTTTAGAGCATAACATTATGCTTTAGAGCATAACATTATGACTTAGAGCATAACGTTATGCTTTAGAGCATAACATTATGCTTTAGAGTATAACATTATGCTTTAGAGCATAACATTATGATTTAGAGCATAACATTATGATTTAGAGCATAACATTATGCTTTAGAGCATAACATTATGCTTTAGAGCATAACATTATGATTTAGAGCATAACATTATGCTTTAGAGCATAACATTATGATTTAGAGCATAACATTATGCTTTAGAGCATAACATTATGCTTTAGAGCATAACATTATGATTTAGAGCATAACATTATGATTTAGAGCATAACGTTATGCTTTAGAGCATAACATTATGCTTTAGAGCATAATGTTATGCTTTAGAGCATAACATTATGATTTAGAGCATAACATTATGCTTTAGAGCATAACATTATGATTTAGAGCATAACATTATGCATTAGAGCATAATTATGCTTTAGAGCATAATGTTATGCTTTAGAGCATAACATTATGCTTTAGAGCATAATGTTATGCTTTAGAGCATAACATTATGCTTTAGAGCATAACATTATGATTTAGAGCATAACATTATGCTTTAGAGCATAACATTATGATTTAGAGCATAACATTATGCATTAGAGCATAACATTATGCTTTAGAGCATAATGTTATGCTTTAGAGCATAACGTTATGCTTTAGAGCATAACATTAAAGTTTCTCAACAAAGCATCATAATACATAACAGAAATTACTCCACGGAAGAACATATAAAAGTGACTACATAGAACAGCAACTTTTATGAATAACTGCAAAAAAACATATTACTCACCTCTCCGAAAGAGTCGACATTCCTCATGTGTTGCGCTATGTACTCGATGCTTCTGAGAGTACGGTGATCCTGGTAAGGATTTGGCTCCTCTAGTTCTGGCACGAAGGCTACCTCGTGAGCATGCGCTTGGGCATGACACTCAGGGGCGGGCAGAGCTAGATGATCGTCCCCATACCTGTCACGGTCGTACGGTGAAGGTGGTATCGCAGGAATGTCATACGGGTGTTCCTCAAAGGGAAACTTATCAAACCCATCGCTCGAGGGAGTGAAGGATGTATCCCCTCCAGCTGTAATTTCATCTGGACCTTCCTCGTCTTTATTTGGTCGTTCTACCCACAAGAACTTTGGTAACATCTCGATAAAAATCTTCCGCACCCATGGGGCCATTTTGTGCGTCGAGGGAGACCTAAAATTGACGTTCAGGACTCCTATGGTTACCATAACAGACAGCGTTACCAGAATCATAGTGAAGAGCAGATATTTACCCAAAAGAGGCACAGCTAGGGACGTCGGTGGAATAATTTCTGCTAACAAGAGAAAGAACACAGTGAGGGAGAGCAAGATTGAGATACAGAGGGACACCTTCTCGCCAGAGTCCGATGGAAGGTAGAAAACCAATACTGAAAGGAACGAGATACCAACACAGGGTATGATGAGGTTAACGGTGTAGAAGAGCGTTTTCCGTCTCATGGTGATATTGAAGTAGATATCAGGATAGGGTTCCTGGCAGCAGGGGTAGAAGCGTTCATTCCTGAGAGCGGGCACCTTAAGAATGTCCCACTCGACAGAGATGTAGTAGTCGTTGAGGTCTATTCCAGGATCTACTAGGTTACTGCCTCGCTGCTGGTGCAGATGTTGGAGATCAACCTGCAGGTCAACATACCACAGTTAGAAAAGCATATTTTTTTGGTTTGTTAGTGAAAGTTTATTGAATAGAATTTAAGATTTAAGAACAAATGAATGAGACGATACCTGCGTCTGAACACAAAAGGTGATTGAAAATTTGCTGTTGGTCAGTCCGCTTGATTAACTTAATCATTTGATGTACTCAGTAAAATGAAAGGTACCGTTTATCAAGTTCTAGAAAGCAGCAGTGTCAATATATATTTTATTGAAACACAATCATTTCAATGTTCCGTTTTCATGGCATCAGAATTTTATTTACGGGGCTTTTGTATTAAATATTATTCACAAAAAAATACAGTAACTGAGATAAGGGAGATAGCAACAGAATTTGTAGACTAACATTGGAACACGTACTAAGAAAAGTTTAAAAAATGTACTGTAAATCCTTATAATGTAAACGCTGCTAAATATATAATATTTGTTAAATATTCTTGTAAAATATTAAATCTGAGCATCTGATCATTATTCAGTCCAACCTAAGAAACTGGAGTTCGCCTCCTCATTTTTTGATGTACCAGGCATTAAAATTCTTCCAGAAAAAAATATTAGAGGGAAAGCCTTACAATTTCTGACTCCTCACATTTATTTGTTAAATAACAGTTGTAATTTCTAGTAAATTATTCGATTGTGAGCAAAGTAACATTTATGAAGGAATTCAAGGAAACCGGTTAGTTGGACTTAAGTCCTGGAGGTGGGAGGGATAATGCCTGCACTCTGGAGGAGGGGCTGAGGATATCTGTAGTTTTGAACTAGCAAGACAATGATGGTGTGGGTGATGGTGAAAGTGTTTCATCTTTTTTGGGGTCACCCTGGGATACGGCCGGTTTTACCGAATAGGTAAACCTAGCGGTTTTGGCTTAAATAGCAACGCCTTTCTTGCCGAATAAGGCAAGCGAAAATTTGTGTATGCATGAATTTCGCAAAAATCATTCTGAACCTAACGAAAAAGAATATATTTCATTGTGTTTGTTTATTATTAAATTATTGTAAACTTATCTAAAATATATTTAGTTGGATTAGGGTAAATTAAATTAGGGTTGTTATAATAAAGTTAGGTAAGTTTTCTAAAGTTCTTTTGGCACAAAATTATTAATTTATACCTCAACATAAATAAAAAATATATATCTTTAACAGTATAAGAGAAAATTTTAGAAAGGACTTAATTTTAAATGAACTCCTCATTTTTCAAACGTCTCCTTGCGTCATCAGAAGCCATGCAATATTGCAAAAGTATCAACAGGAGGAGTGAGGGAAAGTTTCCTCAGATTAAGGTAGCCTAGTGATGCCAGCCAGTTCCTCTCAGATATGGTCAGGACACAGGCAACGTTCGTTACCCAAGCATCCCATTCCCTCACCATCCTTCCCCATTTGGGGAAGGATAGAGAGGGCCTCCGAAGTTTACAGAAAGCGGGAAATAGAATAATAGAAAATTTAATATCCAGCCCTAAGCTACATGTAATCGCCATCAACAAGTCAGCAGAAGCACCAGTAGTAACAGATTAGTAACAAGCATCAGCAGCAGGAGTAAGAACATCAGCACTAAGAAAAGCAGTAGCAAGCACAGGTAGGTAGGAAGGGAATCAGTGGAGCTGTGGTGAGATATCAGCTTCCTCGGCAGTAAGGCCACACATCTACGATAACATAACTAATTTCCGACTCTGCTTCCGCCAGCTCCCTCAGGCATATGCCAGGGTCAAAGCCTCCGTTAATAGAATTCTCTCTCTGTCTCACTCTTTCTCTCTCTCTCTCTGTCTCTCTTTTTTTCTCTCTCTGTCTCTCTGTGTCTGTCTGTCTGTCTGTCTGTCTGTCTGTCTCTTTCTCTCTCTCTCTCTCTCTCTCTCTCTTAAGGCCTTTTATAGTGTTACGTTAAGGTTCCTTCTTTTACTTACAAACTAAGAACTTTTATCTGTCTCAGGTCATCTGGAAGCCTTTTTACTGCTATGAAACATACAAATAGGGAACAAGATGAAGTTGGAGCCATTTGTGGAACAGCGATTTCATTTGGTGAACCGACTTTATTTCTTCAGTGCCATTATGCCGTACTTATTCCATACTCATGTTATTCTTGGAATGAATGATGTCAGATGAAGTGATGTTCTTGAGAGAGGGTACAGCCAAAATGAAGTTGTTGTTGTTGTTTGTTGCCCGTCCTGTGTAGAAAATGTGTTCTCGCTTTCCGCGAAGTTTAGCCAAGTGTGGTACCTTGACAGCACTGGCCTCGTACAGTACAGTAAGATCATTCATATTTCTCCGGTGTTGAAGAGTCTGCTGAAATGGCAGATAATTCAACGCCGGGTCTAGGAAAGAGACGTGTCATCTTGCTCTGTTCTCTGTTCTGTCAAGAAGCCATAGATGTGACAGTGACAAATAGTCCAAGAAACTGGGGCAAACTCTAAGTGAAAGTGCATTTATAGCTCGTATAGAGTTTTGTATCTTTACCATCGAACATTTACGAGATATACATTAGTGCTGTTAACTTCTTGGTTACCTTGCTAGATTTCGGTTTGAAATCAGATTTTTATCACTGTGATATCCACTTCATTCCTGCGTTCCAAAACTCTCCCACTAATCCATCATTACCATGATGGTTCCAAGAGATCATCATCATTTGTGTTTCCTCAGAAGCAAATGTAAGCTGCCATCCTTTTCCCCAGGTTGCAATAATTGTAAGCAGGTAACTGATGTAACAGAAAACAACTGACATTTCTTTCTTAGATAAGTACTGTAAATGTTAGAGTATAGTCATCTGCATAGGCATGGGATTTTTGGATGAGTTGAAGATCCTTGAAGTAAACATTCCATTCCAATGACTCAAACGCACTACTCAGTGGAACATTGGCACCAATTGATTGTCTTTATGACTCTTTGAGATCTAAACAGAAGATTTTCACTAAGGCGGCACAGTGCAGAGCCAGAGACACAGCATTTTTAATTTTGCCTAGAATCCCTAGCGTCATACTCGGTCCAGAGCGCCAGCTATGCTCAGCGCTACTACACATCTGATTTTGAATTCATCCAGCGACTGATGTCACATAGTAGAAAGGTTAAACAGCATATCAGTAATAGAGTGACCTTTTCTGAAGTTATATAGACGGTCACAAAGAAGCGAGTGGTAGTTGCAAAACACTATCATATGCTGTGAGATAATTCTCCCAAGAATCTTACCAGTGATTGATCGGACTGACACTCGTCAGTACTAGCTGATTTTTCTTTGCTTTTCTTTTCGTGAACAGGGACTTCAGTACTTTTACTTGATTCCAAAAACAAGGCCATTTACACTGTGCTAGACAGTACTGATAGATGCGAGTTACATGTAATGCTTGCTAGTCTGCATATCAGTATACTCAGCAATCTTGGGCTCGCCTTATCTGGGCCCACAGCCTTTTATTGGTCCAGGTATTTAAGGAGATATAGTCCATCCTGTCTTATCGTCAACTCTGACAACTTTGACAGTTCTTACGGCTAACAAAGGAGGTTCCTCCTCTCTCTCTCTCTCTCTCTCTCTCTCTCTCTCTCTCTCTCTCTCTCTCTCTCTCTCTCTCTCTCTCTCTCTCTCTCTCTCTCTCTCTCTCTCTCTCTCTCTCTCTCTCTCTCTCTCTCTCTCTCTCTCTCTCTCTCTCTCTCTCTCTCTCTCTCTCTCTCTCTCTCTCTCTCTCTCTCTCTCTCTCTCCTCTCCTCTCTCTCTCTCTCTCTCTCTCTCTCTCTCTCTCTCTCTCTCTCTCCTCTCCTCTCTCTCTCCTCTCTCTCTCTCCTCTCTCTCTCTCTCTCTCTCTCTCTCTCTCTCTCTCTCTCTCTACTCCTCTTCTCTACTACATCTCTCTCTATTCTCACTCCAATATATCTCTCTGATTATCTTACTCAATCGTAATAAAGAAAGGGGAAACTCATAAAAAATAAAGAGCATGAGATGTTGGATTATTTAACTGCAAAGTGGTAAAAAGCAAAGGGGAAACTCATAACAAAATAAAGAGCCATGATAATAGCAAAGAAGACCAAGGTTTACCCAGAGACGCTTAGAAGCAAAAGCTAAAAGTGGAAGATCGAAGACAATTTTACAAAGTATAAATTTGCACAGAGTTGGCACTTAGGATTTCTGCAGTGCTGATATCTACAAAGTGGTATTAGCTGATGGTTAGCTATCATTTGGTCAATATTTTAGATATATTTAATAAAATCAAAGCTAAATAGTAATGTCAATGGTATTCAGAGTTCTCAAACATATGCAACCTTGCAGCTGGGACGAGCCAAATTAAATCAAACTGGCAATCCATTAAAATAATTTAAGTGTTCGGAAGTGTTCAGGAGCGACTATGATAATCATCACCAACATACTACAGAACTCTGACAACTATTGTTTATCCAAGACCCCCATAAAAACGAGTACCACCAATCAGATGCAATGCCGAGTAAGCTTTCACCAGTTCATATATCTAATTTTATGGTCGTGAATGCTTCTTGCTGATGTTTCTGAAAGCTGTCCTTAAATTTACCAGCCTCAAGTTCGCTGCACTAGCTTTACAGAAGTGAACTTCAGGAGAAATGCTTGCAACAGCTTCCACCTCGATATCTTTCTCTTTCTCTTACAACATTTGTCCCGAAGCCTGAGCTCTATTTTCGGACGTCCTTGCCCTTTTTACATTTTCATAGGATCGCATTTGTTGGGATTAAATTGCAATAGTTAATTCTCAGACCAGTTCTGCAGTTTATCCAGATCCAATTCAGGTCTTTATTGGTCAATTCCTGTTTGTATTTTCCTTATTATTTTCTCATCTGCGAATAATTCTGAGTGTGTTTGTGAGTGGTTATGTGAATGTGTGTGTGTTTATGAGTGTGTACTCACCTAATTGTGGTTGCAGGGATCGACTCATAGTTCCAGGCCCTTGTCGTACCTCTTCTTAAAGCTATGTAGGATCCTGCCTCCACTACACCACTCTCCAGACCATTCCACTTCTAAGCAACTT